CCTCGACCTTGATTATTCCGGATATCACAAAAACCTCATCCAATAATTGTTTAATATATATAAACCAAATATTTAAAACTGTCCCAGTACCCCCATTTGTCCTACTACTCTCTTCAATTTCGTTTTCTTCCTCCAATGAATCGGAGCTGCACAAAGACCCAACTTCATTAATCAATCAATTTGATGTTGTTGTTGTTGTTGTTCAATGGAAAGCCGCTCGTTGTAGGATTCACTTGAGGTCCGTTATGGTCCATTATGGACTTGCGAAAGTGTTAAGAGGTGTAAAAGCTCTTCAAACACGCAAAAAATCTGCTAATGGTTTTGAAGACTTAAGGTAAACTTTGTTGTTGTTGTTACACAATTCAGTTCGACGTACGGAAGAATTAGGCTTATAATTTCTTTACATTTGTGACGAAACTTCGGAGTACCATTAAATAATTTCAAACCAAAGTTTGTAGCTTTTTTGTCGCTGCCGGTATGGCATTTTTTGTCTTTTTCTGTTGTTTCGTCGGTAGAAAGCTCGCGAAATCTACTTTTTTGTGTCGCTTTGCCCGAGAGAAATTTTGTTGTTTTCTATATAAGGTCAAACTAAGGTAAATGAGCTGATAACCGAGGTTGAGTGAACCAATCAGAATGCTAGAAATGCATTATCCGAGGTTGAAAATTTAATAAAATAATATATTTTAGTGTGCTTTCGTTGTCCGTTCACTGAAGGGAAAACAATTAGGACGCCTGGAGGACTTTTTACAGTATTGTAGAGGTGCAGATACCGTATTTATTCGAGTAAGCGCCCAGCCTCGAATAAGCGCCCACACCCAACCCCAACCCCTCTCAGTCCCACTCAAACTCCACTAAGCACCCACCCCCACCCCAACCTCTTCCCCTTCCCAGAGACTTCCCCGAAGACGTAGGGACAGTTATTTAAACGGAGTTTAACCTGTGTTTACCAAAACCGCGTTCTAAGTCACTTTCAGTTTGTCCAACGCTTTTATCTAAACACCATTTGTCGTGAACAGTTTAACTAGAGCATATAGTGTAGACTAGAAAAGTATTTATCTTCTAAAATGAACCAAGAGATTATAACCAACCTGTAGTTTTCCTCAGAGGAATTTACAGAAACCTTGCTTTGTCAAATCTTCGCGTTTTGTTATTAACACTTTTTGTTTTGTTCAATGTTGCAAAATAAACATACTACACTTGCTGAAAATGTTAAAAATTTAATAAGCGCCTAGGGCGGTTAATCGAATAAATACGGTGGTTAAGTTATCGGAATGGATAGGACTTGACTAGTGAATGCTGGCAGCAATACGAGTCCACGCTCAAGCCACGTGCTGCGCGGGCGCGAATTTATAAACCTCGGCTTTGCAGGGTCCGCGTGAAAAGCCATTACTTTACGTTGATCGTTTTTGTCATCACAAGGCATAGAGACGATGAACGAGAATCATAAAAAACAGTACCTATTTTTCTCTTATTTAGGTTTCTTCTCTTGACATGATTTAGGTCTGGAAGAGGCGGTTATCAGCTATAACTCAAGTATTGTAAGGGGCAGTTTATATGATACCAGGATGACTTTCATTCCGGAATAAGTTCGTTCCAGAATGAACATCGTACTACATTCACATGTTAAAATCGAAAGTCTCAGCCTAGATAAGATACTCGTGCGCCACTCGCCCCAGACTACACGATTTGCGAGTTTCAATGCGGAACGAACTGTGTTTTCAGTTTAAATGATTTCAGTTTACATCATACCCAAACGAAAGTTTCATTCGGATTGAAGACCGGATTGAATTCATTCCGGAATGACTTGTACGGGAGCAAAATTTCTTCTCGGTATCTTGTGAACAGATGCAAAGAAATATATGTAGATGGCATGAACTTGTTGCGGAATGAAAGTTATTCCGGTTTCATGTAAACAGCCCTTAAGGTGTGTAGACTGATGGATCTTTATTCACCTTCTAAATAAAAACAGGCGTCAAGAGGTTCTCTACACAAGGCTGCTATTAGTGGACAATGCGAGACGCTCAAAATGCTTCTTGACAATGGTGAAGATGTGGATCAAAGAGATCAGGTTTTATTTTAGTGTTTTTGGTTATCAGGTAAAGAATTTAAAGGGTAATATGGACCTAAGCTGGTCTAAGCTGCTTTAGAATAAGCCTGTAATTGTATGGTTTTCTGTTCCCAACCCGACGCCTAGCTTTTCTTCGCTTGATATTGGAGTTAGCTGGGTCGAGTCCCTAGCCTATTTCTTAAGGAAACTTATCTTTAATTTTTCAACAATTGTTGCGTTTTGGGATATAGGCTGTAACGGTCAGTTTCAAAATTGATTTGTCAGAGAGGCGTTTATCTATGGGTTGACCTTTGAAAGAATTTCAATAAATCGAATAAAAAGGGTGTAAGATAGTCTCAAGCTTACTGGGAAACTAAGTCTAACAATGTTCAATAATTTGTTATAACCTTCTTCACTTGCTCTGTTTATCTTTTCGTTAGTTTTCTCAGACACCTCTTCATCTTGCCTGTTGGTATGGACAGGAATCTGTTGTCAAACTGTTGTTAGAACAGGGTGCGAACGTTAACGCTAAAGACAGAGTAAGTTCAGTCGATGGTTAAACGTTTCTGACCTTGAATAAAGAAGCTTTTTTAAATTAACTATGGTTCTGTAAGGTACGAAAGTAAGATCTAGGATTTATTAATTGAAATTTCACATCTCTTAAACCCATTACAACGTGAAATTGGCGTTTTATAAAAGCTTAGGTTTTTGTAACCTCGCGTTGCATCTCTAATTTTAGCTATATTCTTCTCTTTTAATGCATGAAGATTATACAAAAAAAAAAACAAACAAAAACAGTGCAAGAGTTGAAGCCCTAAAGTGTCAAAAAAAAAACAACAACAACAACAAGATAATTGAGTTAAATAAAAAACGTGTTTGGCGATTAATTTTCACAAGAGTGAAAATCTTTTAATAGTAATCTGGTTTCACATGAGGAAACCTAACTCGCCTTCTTTTTAACATATTAATTGCCTTTGTTGTTTAATTTCATATAATGGAGCTCGTCCTTGGTATTGCGTGTTTTAAATTATTACTCAAAAACACAACCAGGATTACAAATTACCATTTGCTTCACTTTTTCTAGTTTCAACGTACCCCTCTGCAAAAAGCGGAACGCCACAATCACTACTCCATAGTGCAGTTACTCATGAACAGTAATGCCAGGCCAAGTTACCAACAACCGGTAAGATATATACTTTAAGGGTGTGCCTTGCTTTCGGTGAATTAAAAACGAGCCTTCCATTCAACTGAGATTCAACACGTTAAGTGATTGGGAATTGAAGCCTTCAAGACTTTGAAAATAGCAAACTGGCCAGAGAAAAGACGCACTTGTAGACATCATTCAGTGAATTTACTGTTTCATTATCATGAAAGTTATGCTTTTGGAGTGGCGGGTAATAATTGCCCCTTTTTTCGATTTTTGTTTACTGAGTAAATAATAATAAATTTACTGGTTGTGTTGGTTTTTAAAACTCGCGGCGAGAAAGGAGCACTAACAACAAGAAATCTGGACAAGTGAGCGTGCTCGAGGGTTCCTTCTATGACATTCAAGGAGCCAAAAAAGCAGGATAGCAGCGCCCTGCTTTACAAATCAGTACTACAAAAAGGTGCATAAATCGGTGCACACTCCGACTAATTTCTCAAAGAAACTATATTTACAATGTGATACTCTACTCGATTTTTAGGCACAGTATGGATGAAGGGGTAATTTAAGCATTATTTAAAGAATACGACGTGTTTCGGATGTATCAGTATCCATCGCCAGTTCACATAATTGTGACCTTAAAAAAAGTTTGATAACTAACTTTATGGATCATAATGTTGAATGTGATTACGATTTAACTTACTTGAAGACTCTTATTTTCATGTTCTCTGTCATTTATCTTGATTTCCATCCACCTTTTGAGTTGTATTAGCGAAGTTAATTACGTCAAATTATGATAATTGTAATTAGTTAGTCAGTGAGAGTGATTTTACTCGAACCGTGAAATAGGTAGTAGAATACTACGCAATATTTGTTAGAATCTGTTTCACGCTTCAAGTAAAATCACGGCTCTATAATGATCACCTTTTGCAATTATCATCCTTTGTTGTCTATCTTTATGTATGATTACAATTTTGTGAACTTTAGTAACCTGACGATGGATGTTGATGTATCCCAAGCGCGTCGGTTGTGTTCTTTAAATGTTCAATTTTCATTTTACTACTACTGAATTTCGATGAACGATAAATTATGTGCTGTGCTTTATTTTTATCACCTCAGTTAGATTCAGATTCTAGGTAAGTACACTGACTCGTTTTATCTTCTTGCTTGTAGTTAAGTTTAAAGTCACTTGCGGAGAAGGCATTCTTGCGTGTGGATACTCGATCGGGATTTAACATGCTGACTGCGGCGGTCTTTGAAGGAAACTATAACGTTGTTTCCAAGGCGTTTGTACTACTCGATAACCTTGGAATGCAGATGGGAATTTCAGCAGTTGCTGATACTCTGGCAAATCTGGAAACCAAAAGGTCTGGTCATCACAAAATTGAAAGCCTTTACCGAGAGACAGTGGATAAAGTCAATACACTGTCAGAGCTGCACCAGTGTAAACGCGGTAATGATGCGGAGAAGGCAGTAGAGCTTGTATTAAATGATGGCCTGGATATAAACACCCCTGCATTGTGCAATCGCACACCCTTGTTGTGGGCGAGTCTTTCATCTTCTGGCGAGTTTATTGAGACCCTTATCGACCTTGGTGCTAACGTTAATGCTCAAAGAACCGATGACAAAGAAGCACCTTTAATCTTATCTTCTGGTTGGAACAACTTCATGGCAGTGTACTTGCTTTTGAATCATGGAGCTGATGCTAATATCGCCAGAGCTGATAAGTATACTCCACTGTACTTGGCAGTGATGAATGGTAACCAAAACCTTGTCAAATTATTTCTGGAAAAGAACGCGTTAGTAAATACTCAAACTGCTTATGGCAATTCACCACTGCACTCAGCTGTCAGCAACGGATTTTTTGACATTACCAAGCTTCTAGTTAAAAAGGGAAGCAACGTCAACCTTCAAAATAAAGAAGGAAGAACCCCTCTTTTTTTTGGTGTAAAGAACAAACAAAAGCAGCTCATCAAATTCTTGATTGAAAACGAGGCTGATGTAACTATTGGATACAAGGAAAACACTACCGACATAATTTACCTAGTTCGAGGGAAAGACAGAGGTAGAGCAGTTTGGCACTATGTCCTGGTGAAGAAACATTTGTTGGGTTTATTTCTGAAGCGAACGAAAGGAGGCAGTCTTGACGTGGCAGATTTTGGAGATATTCTTAGGAGTGGTCGGGGAAAGGATCCTCCAGAAGGCACAATTGACAAGATACTTGAGGAGTGTGACTTTAAGGAAATACCTGGTGAGACCGTTCTTCACATTGCAAGCAAAGAAAACAACGAACCCGAGATAATCGATCTTTTGGTTAAGTCCGGGGCAAATGTCAACGCCCAGGACGCTGAAGGGTTCACTCCCCTGCACATGGCAACGATCCATGGTAATCTAAAAATCGTGAAAAAACTTGTTGATCTCGAAGCTGACGTTAATATCGTCACAACCGATGGAAAGACTGCTGCTGAGTTAGCTCACTTGAATGAAGAACTGGAGATTGAGGAGTATCTCGAGTCGAAGATGGCTTCTTCGAAAAGAACCAAAGAAAAAGAGGATGACTTCGAACTTGCAGCCTCAGATCAAGAAAGAGAGGACTCTTTACGGATCGACACAAGCTCAGATGTTCTTAAGGTGGGATAGTTTTTATTGTTAATTAATAACGCATTAATGAATAGCAACTGAGGTCAAGTGAATCGGAAAACCCTAGTTTTAAATACTCTGAAGTCTCTTCTTACTTTTCGAGAATTGTCGAATTTTAAACGGTTCTGACTCTAAATCTTATTCGATGTTTTAGTGCTACCCGTGATTGTACATTGAGGTATATGAGGGTCTCAATGGGGTGGTGGCTTTTACGGCTTATCGGCTAAAATTTTGGCTCTTTTACGGCTATCGGTTAATTTATTTCAGTTACGGTTAACAAAAAAGTTAAAAATTAATTTCTTTAGTTTCAAAGAGTTAAATATTAATGAACCTGTATTTTTGGTTTCTTTAAGCAAAATAAAGGTCTTGGGATCATCTCGGGATGAAATAAGTTATTCTTTTGAAACATTTTAGCATTTGATAGATCATACTTTTAAGTATTCCACTTCTAATATTATTTTACCCACAGGAATGTCAACGGTTACTTTTACAAATCTAGGGAACAGTTTCTTTTACGGTTAACCATTTTTTGCCCTATTTACGACTAACGGTTAAAATTTTTCAATTTTTACGGCTATCGACTAAATTTTTGGACGTTTTACGCCTATCGGTTAACCCCATTAAGACCCTCGTATATTGCTTGCATCTTCTAAATTTGGTGATCGCCAGCTGATTTTGAAGAATTAGCCAGGAGATTAAAGCCACTCAAAAACGGCGAAATGTTTTGAAAGAATAACAAATTTGTTTAATCATCCTAGGATAAGAAGCAGGTCCTGACCCATATGGAGAGAGCTGAGAAAGCAAAAGTAAGTTGAATGACATATGTATTGTAGTGTGCGCACGTTGTCCATTTATTCTAGGGAAATCAAATATGAAAACTTTAATCAAAGAAAGATTTAGAAATTCCATATTATTAACGTCTTTCTCATAAATCAGAGCACAGGCTTAATTCTGAGTGGCAACATTGTCATATTACTGTATACAACGGCGAGCCCCCCAACAATAGGCTGATTTAGCAACCGAACGGGAACGTCATTTGACGACGGCGCGCGCAAATCAAACAACTGGTTTGACCAATGGCAGAACGAGAAATAGGGCACCGGAAGTCTAGTTTAGTTCTTAGCGCGCGCTTTCCCGTTCTGTTGCTAAATCAGCTTAGTAGAACGAGTAGGACGGTATGGGGGACTTTTCACAGGATTGATTTGTTATTAGTGTCTCCAGTATTTATGCTGGCTGCATGAGGCTGGGTAAAAGTCGGGATTTGAGGATTGGCAAGTCTGTAGGTTCGCCCACGAAAATTTAAACAGTGGCCTTCAGTTTTTTTTTTCGAGGTGATACTTGATCAAGAAATTCGTGTCCATCCTAACCTGAGATCAGGCTCAATTTTCGTTTTGCTTTGTAAAGAACATTCCGGCGGGCAAGGCGAAACGAAAAGAGAGCCTGATACAAACCTTCTACGAAACGTCTGCCGCCTTTTTTGATGTATTGACATTTGCCGAATCAGCCAACCAAAATTACTTCCGTTTCTTGTTTTTTTAGTATGCAAATTTTCCATAAGTGGGAATAATGCAGACTCGCTGACTTAAAAAATATCTTTTATCTTTTTAATTTTTTCAACTAAAAATAAAACAGTCAGCACAATCATATTTAACTTCTTGCGAGATTAAAGGAGATCTCGAAGGTTATTTCTATTGGCGTACAAGGTAAAAAGTTTTCAAAAAGACGGAGACACCAGATGTTCTAGTTTTAATGTTTTGGCTAGGCGCACTCGAATTTAAAACACTGAATTTTTTCCTTTTGCCTTTATATTTTCCTTGGCAGTTTTCTCCGATTTTCAGTACATAAATCTTTTAATTAAAAATCTTGGAGAAATATATCGCGAACTTTTTAAAAGGATATATAAATTATCTCAGAACAAAGCAACGAGTTCTCAAGTGCATTTAATTTAGGTGATTTAGTCCCGTACTTGCAATTTGCGAATTTACTAGAGAAACAAACGTCTAAAAAAATATATTTCTTTATAAATCCATGTAAACATTATCACTTTGGAAAGCTATGGGCAAAACGAAAAACAATATTACAAACACACTTTGTAGTTCTCCTTTAATTAGTTGTGTTGTTGTTTTACTGCAGCCTGAAAAGCTCGTTAAATTTTATTTTATGTATCGAAATTAACAAACAGCAAACAGCTAACGAGCGAGGACACCAGTTTCCCTGGTTTATTTTTTACAAACCTTAAGAGTAGCGCCACTAGCTTTTATGATAATGCCAACAAAAATTCCTTGAACAGCGATGACGCGATGTTTTTCGTCTAATACTTCACAGTTGGCGCTATTGAGGTTTCTTTCGCAATGAGCCTCCGCTTGCGTACCCCGTTCAGAAAAGTCATTCCCGGCTAAACTTTCAAATAAAACCACTTTTAAGATGGACAGTATTTTGATCTGCACTCGTTTGTTAGTAAATCAAAAAGCGCCTTGTTAGCGGTCAACTACTTGCAGAGGGATTCAACTCCGCGATACACTCACATTAGTTCCGCAAATAAAGCAAATCCAGAGAAGATGTGAGCAACCATATGAATTTTCTGAATTTCCATGGCACATATTAAGGCATATTTTCCTGACAGCAAAATCGACCTCTCTCTTCCCCGACGGCGGATCATTCACGAAAACAACCACGAGAGGAATAAGCGCTTTCAACTTCCGGCGTTTCCGACAGCCAATCAGATCTTGTGGCATTGTTCTAACAGCCAATCAGCGTTACGGCCAAAATCTGGCCGTAACGAGCACAAACGTGAGAGAGTTTGTATCAGGCCCAATTTTAGCGGTGGCCGTTAGAGAGAATGTATGAGAACCGCTAAAACTGGGCCTGATCTCAGGTTATGTGCATCCTCAATCCACGTGCTGCGCGTGCAAGAACTTATAAACCTCGGCTTTTCAGAAATGTTGAACTTTCCCGCGTGTAAAAGTCATTATTATACATTGTACCAACTATCTGTCTTCTCATCGGCTAAGAGCCTACAGTTAATTTTGGAAATCAGCGCAATCTACAGATTAGCAGATAACTGACTAATCTGTAGGTTGCGCGCGCAACGCATGATTTCCAATAACAGTATCAATTCAATTTTCTTGCGGAGGTGTATTTGTCGTTATTTTCTTCAAAACAATGTATCAAAAAAAAACAATTATTATTAGGTTTTTGTGATATCCTAAATAATCAAGGTCTTGGTAAGTGTTACCAGCCTCGACCTTCGGCTCGGCTGATAACACTTACCCCGGCCTTGATTATTCCGGATATCACAAAAACCTCGTCCGATAATAGATTGTTACTTTACGTTGAGCGTTTTTGTCATTACAATCTATTAACTTTCTACAAAACAATAAGATAAACAATAACTTAAGATAAGTCACACTACAAAATTTAAACTAGAATATAGCATACATGAATACACAAGCATACAGGCGGGGACACCTCAAAAGCGAGGGCCAATTACTGCGAGCTCAGGACACAGACACAAGGTATAGGTACGATGAACGAGAACCATAAAAACACTACCCATGTTTCTCGAATTCAAGTTTGTTTGTTTCTTTTTGACACGAGTTAGGCCTAGAAGAGGCGTGTCAGATCTGTTGTAACATAAATTAATGTAATCAATAAATGCAAGGTGTGTAGACTGATGGATATGTTATTCACCTTCTGAAAAAAAAAACACAGGCATCAAGAGGTTCTCTACACAAGGCTGCTATAAGTGGACAATACGAGACCGTTGAAATGCTTCTTGAAAGTGGTGAAGATGTGGATCAAAGAGATCAGGTTTTATTTCAGTCTTTTTTGTTACCCGGTTTAAGAACTTAAAAGGGTAATATGGACCTAACAGGAGAGATTTTGAAAATGATTTGATCAAAAAGTCAAACGCTAAAAGATTTTTAAAATACATTTAAAAAACATTTAAAAAAGTGAACGACGTTTCGGCGCTACGTTACGCCATTATCAAGCTGAAAAGTGAAAAAGCATAAGGTGTAAAATGAGTATATAAAATTTGAAATAATACATAAGGTAAGAAAAAAAAAATGTACGAAAGTGTCACGTAATAGTTGGTGCGAATGGAGTCGGCTTGTGTGTTAAGAGAAGGCTTGATGTCCTTTATGTATAACATCTCGTAGACTAAGCAATCAAACTTGCTGTTACATTTCTTCAGAACTTTGAAAAGATGGTCAGCCTTTGTTCTGTTGTTGCTATGCTGTGTTTCAAGGTGTTTGCCGATGGCTGAATAACGGTGTTCACTTATGCCTTGATGTAAGTGTCGGGCAGTGTACCCGACATAATTTGCATCGCACAAATCACATTGAAATAAGTATACAACGCACTGAGTGTTGACGATCGGGGGCTTGTTTGCCTTGACACTCATGTGGGTTTGTGAGTAGACAGTTTTCTGCTTGTAAAGACGGGTTTTTCGTTAACATCGATCTTGACTCCCAGAGAATAGATATCTTTGCGTATCTTTGCTCGAGCAAAGTGTTAAGCTCAGCCGGCTCATAATTTTCTATTTCATCAGTAGTTTCCTTATCTACACACCATTTCTTCCAAACAGGAGCCAAAAACAAGTGCTTTTCGCAGTGTTTTCGTTTTTAGAGCAGTTTTTTTTTTCAGCTCATCTACAGTTGTTTCGGTCGCAAAAGCAAAGGTGCTGCAAACGCCAACCATTGTGGTTTTTGCTCGAAATTGGTCAGGAGCGGATCCAAATTTTGCGCCATTTAGATGGCGCATTTGATTGGCTCTCAGTGATTTCCTTTGTTTATTAACCAATCAGAATGTCACGTTTGTTACTGTTTTCTACACTAAATTATCTTTTTTCTGCACTCAATTACCTTTTTTCTGCACCTTGTTACCTAAAAACTGCATTTCTTTTAGCCAATCACAATCGAGAAACTTTTTCATGTATATAGTCCAATAAAAGCCTCTAGTTTTATTTTATGCATGACCATCATTATTGTTGAACAAGCTGACTTCTTTCACCCTTTTCTAATTGTTTTTTCCCCTCCCTATTTCTGTAGTTTTCTCTGACTCCTCTTCATCTTGCCTGTTGGTATGGACAGGAATCTGTTGTCCGGTTGTTACTAGAGCATGGTGCGAACGTCAAAGCTAAAGACAGGGTGAGTTAGTGAGTTTTTTTCTATTGAACAATGATGGGGAGTATTAATTGAAGGAAGATCATCGCAGTTATATACGCAATTTTTGCAGTTGCAAAAAGAAAGCCTGAAAAAAAGTCAGGCTTGTACGGCATTCGAACCCTTGACCTCTGTGATACCGGTGCAGCGCTCTACCAATTAAGCTAACAAGGCAACTGGGAGCCGGTCGTTGAATTGGTTCGTTATAAACCCGTGAAAGGATGATGATGAAGTTATGAATATATGAAAATCATATATTCGTAACTTCAATGATAGGGAGCGTAAGCAACAACGATGGCGACGTCAACGAGAACGGCAAAAAAGCAAAAGGTTTATTAAGCAAATCATAGCCTCTGGGAGGAGACGTTTTATGCTTAAAGGTCGTCATTAGATTTTGTTACACAGCAATTAATTTAGCTCACGCTACAAAACGTATGTCCAGGGCTGTGGTAAGCAACGCATGTTACTCTGCTTAAATGTTTTTAGTTTCAACGTACACCTCTGCAAAAAGCTGAACGTCAAAACCACCACTCCATAGTGCAGTTGCTTCTGAAGAATGATGCTAGGCCAAGTGTTCATCAACCAGTAAGATATCAGATTTTGTCAGTCTTCCCTGATCCATTTTGCCAAACGTTGTCTTTCAGATGGAGTTCTACCTAATTTGTTTAACGTTACCTATACATCATCGTACGAGTCGCCTCTATCTTTTAGATACCTTATATTTGTTGTTATTTATGGAATTACTTACCCAGGAACCTTAGAACTGAAGACCTAAGCCTGTCTTTCATCAAAAAACGTTGCGGAGATTTTTACAAAAAAAATAGCCTGCGAGCAAGCTCTCCGGAGCAATCTGGCGGCTGGGCGGTAAAGGAAGAAGAGCTTGCAACTACGTCTCTGGAATTTGAATATCTACATCGAAAAATTCGATGCGAAATGCTGATTGGCGGAGATGACATTCGTAATGACGTCATTGCCCTTGGCACTTGTTTTTCAATGTTTGTTTACATTCGCGCTCGTTTCCGCTTCGCGCTTATTGGCGGAAATCTGACAGCTCAGTCGACGGGGAGCCGTAGTTGCGAGCTCTCCTTGCTTTTCCTGCCCCGCCGCCAGAGCGCCCCGGAGAGCTTGCTCGCAGGCTACAAAAAATAAGATTAGGGAGGTTGATCCTTATCGCCCACATGTTACCTGGGCATAAAAATCATAGCGTAGCCTCAAATCATAATTATCAGTTTATATGTGTTACTTTTTGTGACAACTTTTTTTTCTTTTCTTTTTTTTTTTTTACATTGTTAGTTATATTTCAATTGAGTCAGGGTTAGCTCGTATGGTTCGTCTGTTCTAAACTAGTCGTTCCCCGTTGCTCTCCACGTGTATGCAGTGAAAACCGATTAAATTCAAATTAAAAATTTTAAAATCTTATTCAAATTAAAATGTGTCTATTTGCGATACACGGGAACACCATTACTGCGTTTTTCAAAAACACGCGAACTCTGAAGTTCAAAAGCCGCCTTCACAATTAAGTCTTTCGCTGCCGTCAATCATAATTCCAATCACAAGCAACGACCTTGGATCACAGAAATATACAGCCTCGTACCCAGGCCAGTTCGCGCTATCCGAGTTACCAGAGGAGGCTTGGAACCGAGTGCGATAGTCCTCGGCGAATTTTGCAGACAAGCTTGACAGGTGACGTCTCATTCGAAATAGCCGAGGACGACTGGGAACGAGGCTGAGAAATTTACACAAAATGGATCGAAATCCACCAATCACAAATCACAGACCATGACCTTTTGAACCCACTGAAGTAAACGTCTGTTTCCTAAGAGGTCCGCTAAGAATGTTATGGCAGCGAAAAACGCAAACGTCAGTTGACTTTTGAACTTCAGAATTCGCGTGTTTATGAAAAGCGCAGTAATCGTTTATGTTGCAAAACGGTACTTTTAAGCATTAGAGTCTAATGAAAACCATCTTTATTATTTTCGCTCATGAACGTAACATTTTTATTATAGGTCAGTCTAAGAAAACTCTCCAGAAAAGCTTTCTTGCAAGTGGATAAACAATCTGGATTTAATCTGCTCCAGGCTGCTGTCTTAGACGGAGAATACAACATTGTTTTAAATGCTCATGGCCTTCTTGACAAAATTGTAGATGAGATGGAACTTGTAACAACGGGAAATAACGCCAAAGAGTTTCCAGGGATGACGGCGGTTGACATCTTATCTCTTATACAGATAAGAAAACCAAGTCATCATAGAATCGAAAGACTTTATGACAAGTGGGCTAAGGACAACAGCAGACTGACTGAACTGCAGTGGACTACATGTGATGATGATGCGGAAGAGGCAGTTGAGTTTGTATTAAATGACGGTGTAGATGTTAATGCTTCAGGGTCAAACAGTGATTGGACAGCTTTGCTGTGGGCGAGTCGTTCATCCTCAAGTCAGTTCATTGAGACCCTCATTGATCTTGGAGCAGACGTTAATGCTCAAAGAAAAGAGGGAAAAGAAACTCCTTTAACATTAGCAGCTGACTGGAACAACTACATGGCAGCGTACTTGCTTGTAAGACATGGGGCTGATGTAAATGTACAGATTAATAATGGGTTCACAGCACTGCACTTATCAGTCAAAAAAAATCACGAAAATCTCATCAGATTATTACTTGCAAACAAAGTGGATGTAAATATTCATGATAAAGATAAACATACACCACTGTTCCTGTCAGTCCGGAGAAATGACGAAATCCTCGTCAGATTGTTTCTTGAACATAACGCGGATGTAAATATTCAAGGTAATGATGGATATACACCCCTGCACTGGTGTGCCAGAGAGGGTAACGAAAACCTCTGTAGATTGTTACTTGAACATAACGCGGATGTAAATATGAAAGAATATTCTGGAGATACACCCTTGCACTGGTGTGCCAGAGAGGGTAACGAAAACCTCTGTAGATTGTTACTTGAACATAACGCGGATGTTAATATTCAAGGTAAGGATGGATATACACTCTCGCACTGGTGTGCCAGACAGGGTAACGAAAACCTCTGTAGATTGTTACTTGAACATAACGCGGATGTAAATATAAAAGATTATTCTGGATATACACCTTCGCACTGGTGTGCCAGAGAGGGTAACGAAAACCTCTGTAGATTGTTACTTGAACACAACGCGAATGTAAATATGAAAGATTACTCTGGAGATACACACTTGCACTGGTGTGCCAGAGAGGGTAACGAAAACCTCTGTAGATTGTTACTTCAACACAACGCGGATTTAAATATTCAAGGAAAAGATGGATATACACCCTTGCACTGGTGTGCCAGACAGGGTAACGAAAACCTCTGTAGATTGTTACTTGAACATAACGCGGATGTAAATATTCGAGATTATTCTGGATATACACCCTCGCACTGGTGTGCCAGAGAGGGTAACGAAAACCTCTGTAGATTGTTACTTGAACACAACGCGAATGTAAATATGAAAGATTACTCTGGAGATACACACTTGCACTGGTGTGCCAGAGAGGGTAACGAAAACCTCTGTAGATTGTTACTTCAACACAACGCGGATGTAAATATTCGAGGTAAAGATGGATATACACCCTTGCACTGGTGTGCCAGAGAGGGTAACGAAAACCTCTGTAGATTGTTACTTGAACATAACGCGGATGTAAATATTCAAGATTATTCTGGATATACACCCTTGCACTGGTGTGCCAGAGAGGGTAACGAAAACCTCTGTAGATTGTTACTTGAACACAACGCGGATGTAAATATTCGAGGTAAAGATGGATATACACCCTTGCACTGGTGTGCCAGAGAGGGTAACGAAAACCTCTGTAGATTGTTACTTGAACACGACGCGGATGTAAAAATGAAAGATTATTCTGGATATACACCCTTGCACTGGTGTGCCAGAGAGGGTAACGAAAACCTCTGTAGATTGTTACTTGAACATGACGCGGATGTAAATATGATAGATTATTCTGGATATACACCGCTTCAATTATTAGTTCGTGACCCTCATATATTTAACGGTGAGATAATCGATCTCCTGGTGACGTATGGGGCGCAAAATATAGACATCCGTGACGCAGAAGGCAGAAGTCCTCTTCAAATGGCAGTGAAATGTGGTGACGCGCAAGCTGTGAAAAAGCTTATTGACCATGGAGCTGATGTTAGTGTGGTTGAAGCCGATGAGACTGATGCCAGAGGACTGAAACGCTTAAAGAATGAAGCTGAAAAACTCACAGAGTCTCATCCCAAATCAGAGAAAATCCTGAGGCAAACCACCCCCTCGTCTACATATACAACAGAAGAAATAGAGGAAGAAGCGGAAGCTGAACAAATGAAAACCCTGGCAGTGAGGCACCACAAAAAAAAGGCGACTACATCTTCAAGAACAAATAAATGCGTAATGGCTTAAATATTAAGATTTTTCAGAGTTGTGTTTTTGAGAAAGGCCCGGCTGTTTAGTCTGTAAAAGAGAAGAGTTTACTCTTATTAAGCTAACGTTAAACTAGCTTGTACAAGGTTAATAACAAAAATGACGAGAGTAACTATAATCCTCAATGTTAATTTGAAAATTGTAAAATCGACGCTGTTACAAGAGCTTTAACCGACGTTTTGGCACTGCTGCCTTCTTCAGGGTGCAAAAATATACACCGTTAAAAAGATCGAAATAGTTAAAAATGTAATCGCGCACGTGAGCTACGTAATTTAACGAACTTTTCCAAGGGAAACCTTTTAGTGGTGTATATTCGTTTTGTCCCCAGAAGAAGGCGGCATTGCCGAAACGTCGGTTAAAACTCTTGTAACAGAGGACGTACTTTGAATTTCAAATGTGTAGTGTAGATCGGTTTTAAGAACAGTCAACTCCCTTAATAGCGTACACTGTAGGGACGTCCGGTTAGTCACTGTCGATCTTATTAGTGAGAGTCCGTTTATTTTAGTCCGACATCTGTAATTTATTTTTGCATGTGATTTAGTTACTGCCCGTATTATCGGGGTGTCTGTTATTGCGAGAGTCCACAAGGCTAGAGTTGACTTAGGAGAATTTTTGAAAGTTATTACCATAAAATTTTAAAATTATGACGTAGCCGGAATATTCGTGTAACTGATCAAATTGTTATTCGATAGTGTCAGTGTGCTTCATATTCCAGTTGAGCACGCTGGTGACGTCAACAAACTGCTACTTCGAGTTCTTATGAGCTTAGTAATCCTCCCAAGAGCATACATGACTCAATAGTACACAATGAAGCGTTTAAGATCTTGTCTTAGATGTCTCAGATGATCGCGTCATTGAGAGGTGACCCTAAGCCGTTAGCCTTGTCTTCTTCATCCTTTCTTATCAGTCGGAGGGGACAACGTAAAAGAACCCTCATTGGTATTCGAAAAGAATAGAAAAAACAGGCCCCATCAGTGGTGTGGTCTATCTCTCATGTAGCCTGTGTACAGACCCCCCTCCGCTCAGGAAAAATCTGATTTTTCCTGAGGGGAGGGGTAGTCTGTCGTGAGGATAGGGAACTGATAGGGGCTTGCAGTAATTGGGGCCATGCTGTTGAAGCATAGTTAGTTACTGTGGTTGAAGTGACTCCGTCAAAATTGTCTAATCTAAATAAATGAATGAACATGTAAATTAGACGTGGTTCATTATATAATGTTATGGCGGCACTATTCTATGAACTTCGTGTTAGAAAAAATACCGATAAGATTATTTTTATGCCGTCAAAATCATCTTGCCCGGTTAATTAGACATCGAACTAATAATTATTGCTGTTTTTACTAGATTTGTTCTGGGTTTGGCAGCACTTTAATAACCGGGGGCTATTTGACTGTAATAAGCTGTTGAGTTTCAGGGTTAGGTAGGTAGGTAGGTAGATTCTTTATTTAAAACTCGGTAAAATCTTTAGTAATAATAGAGTAAAAATCTAATTACAATTAATTAGACTAAAAACTATCGACATACTGTTTTACAAGACTGCCGAGTGAGAGTCCGACGACTCAAATACATGTTTGATTTGCTCTTTAAATTTCCTGATTGATTTAATTTCTCTCACATTTTCGGGTAAAGAGTTCCACAAAAAAGCACCGCTGTAACTGAAACTTCGTTTCAAGTAGTTAGTACGCTGCCTGGAAACGTCAATTTGTGAAAGGAATTGCGCAAATCATAGTCTGTGCATCGTTCCTGAAATAGGTTCTGCAAGTACACTGGAGCTTGTTCATTTAGAGATTTAAACATCATTATTGCTTTATGCTTCTTTCTGCTTATAACTAATTTGTCCCATTTGAGTATATCAAGAAGCAGGCTCGAGCTAGTCCCATAGTTGGCCTTTAAAATTACTCTAGCTGCAAGGTTCTGTAACTTTTGTAATTTGTCACTCAGTTGATCACTTAAGCCATCCCAAACGAGGCTACAGTAATCAAAGTGAGGTTGAATTAAGGAGTTATAGACTGGTACCGCAGTAGATTGGGAGATAAGGGGCCTGATACGTCTAAGGGCACCTATAGCCGAAGTTACCCTCTTACACAATTCGTTAACATGATTAGACCAGGAAAGCCGATTGTCGATAATTAGACCTAATGATTTTGCGTGATCAACGTTGCTGATAACTTGGTCTTCTAGTTTGATGTTTATTTCGTCATGGCTTTCCGTAAGAAGCTTCTGGCGAGAGCCAATAACCATAAACTCGGTTTTCGCAACATTAAGACTAAGCTTATTGGCTTTTAGCCAACAGTGAAGGCTCAGTAGTTCTAAGTTAGCCTCTTGTTCAAGGTCAGCTAGAGAGGAACCAGAAATGGTAATAGCTGTATCATCTGCGAACATTTTAGCGCATGCTGAATTAAGGCAGTTTGGAAGATCGTTCATATAGATTAAGAAGAACAAAGGACCGAGAATACTACCCTGTGGGAATCCGCATCTTTGTTCGCTTGCACTGGACAATACAATGGCTCCTGTTACCTATGTAGGAGGCAAAGAATCGTAGGGAACCCAGATCAAGTCCATAGTTTGCAAGTTTACGTAACAAAATTGCATGGTCAATGGTGTCAAAAGCCTTTTTAAGGTCGATATATACCACACCATTTAAAGGCCGTTATCTATATTAATAGACCAGCTGTTGGTTGATTCAAGTAGCGCTGTCATGGTGCTATGGAGCGATCGAAAGCCGGATTGATAAGTATTCAAGAGTTAGTTTTTATCTAGGTAATCGTAGAGTTGTTGATAGATAATTTTCTCGAATAGCTTTGAGATCATTTCCTCTTGGGTTTCCAAGAGGAAAGCAAATTCGCAAACCACTGACAACTTCTACCTCCACGTGGTCAGACATTCTAAGCGCGTTTTCCAAAAAGTTTTATTTGCGGGGATTTTATTTACAGTTAAGTTGTTAGCTCTACTAAATATGTTGACAACGAGAAACGATGCACGAAATGATAAGTTAAGCGCAACGATAACAAAGCCGTTTTTGTTTTTAAACACGAAGTCTTTTTTTGTAGGCTTTTAGGAAGTTTAGCAAAATCAGCAGCGATTGGTAACTGTCCACAGTGAAGCAGCACCCCCAGTTTTGATTTACTTTGCTTAGCGTTTTCATAACCCGTTTGACCGCTGGGAAACCAACCTCCCCTCCCCTACTCCCACGTTGCAGCTGTAGCTGAAGTTGAAAGCTGGAAGTCTTCGTCCGTGGCAGGCGAAGTCGAGTATCCACACTTTTATCATCCTTTGCCACTGAAGGGACTTCCAAGGATATTTAGAAACGATGAATAAAGTAATTAATTCAACTTTAGTGCTGCGTCGATGGGGGGGATTTGCTTTCATCAACTGAGTTGACAAATTCAATGTGACCATAAAGAGATATGAAATCTAACGTTTCAAGCCCAGTTTATCAGAGCAAAGGAATGATGGGCTGTGTGTGGTATAACAAGAACAATAGACCTTATTCACGATACCCGCCATCTTTGCATGCGATGTAAGATCGATGGGATAAAAGCTATGTCACGTGGCATTTCTGGGGGCAAACAAGTGATAAAATTTGCCAATACGAGTAATCGCGGTCGAGTTTGTTTATTCTATCAAACGAGACGACGATTTCATAGTTACCCAAAGTGTTGGCAAGATTTATGTCATTACTGTTTGACATTAGGACATTTACGGTCGCTACTGCATATTGTAAAGTAACAATGATCACTTCCACCCATATTTTGACATTATCGTCTTGCAGATGAAAAGGTCTTCATTTCCTGTTGTCTAGGATAAACAAACTCAACCGCGATTTCTTCCACTGGCAATGTTTTTCACTTGTTTGCTTCCTGAGAAACTAACAACCTCGTCCCCAGGGCTGGCGGGTATCGTGAATAAGGTATATCTAGCTGAATGAAAAGCGGTCATTTACTCCATGGGGACTAAGAATAATGATTTTAAATAGATGAATTATTGTTCTTGATTTAGGCGACTTTTTGTACCGGGGTGGTACTCCTTATGATGGCCTATACCCGAAGGGGAGGCTCCCCCCGAAAGGGGTACCTTTTTCAGGCTTCAGGTATGTGAAAGGGTCAGGGATTTCACTAGTTGAAGTATATTGAAGGGTAGAGAAATCTGTCATTTGGGTCTGTAAAAGGGCTCAAAAGGGCTAACAGATAAATTTTATGGCTTGAAAACGTCGGGAAACGTTCTATTTTGTGATTAATTCTTATTTAAAAGACAGTACATTTACAGCGATTAAAATGGTATATAAAGGGTAAGGGGTTGGTCCTCGGGGCGGAGCCTCCCCGTATAAATATTTGTTGAGTACCCCCCGGGTTTTCGTGTTGCCCTGGATTGCGAGGTATAGACCTCTTTAGCTTGTATGTTTTGTTTTCCCGCACACAGAGGTCCCAGGGGAACTTGACACTTTGTCTTTTTGTGTGTACATATGCACGTGAACAGGACGAAATTTGAAAGAAACAGTTCTCTAGAGTATTATCACATGACCCGTATTGGGAAAACAAAACATACAAGCTAAAAAGGTCTGTCAG